GCCAACAAGATCAAGAATTTCTATTACATTCAGGGACTGTAACTGTCTCACCTCCAAATTAAACAAGGCAGAGTAACATGGTTTTCATGCAGTGTAACAGAGGCTAAACTAAGCTCTCTTTCAGAAGCACTGGTAGCTGACCCCCAGCCTCACTTCTGCCTGTAACTGTTCATTGAAATAGCACTGATGCTTCTATTTAGCTTCATGGACAGAATGGGGAGGGTCACAAGTGAGAATTTTGCTTTTAAAGGCTGAAGTTCAGGATTAATTCACTGTGAGTTTTAAAAGCCTGTTCTTGGGACTGGAGAGATGGTTCAGAGGTCAAGAATACTGGCTGCTCTTGCAGAGGAGCTGGGTTCAGTTTTCAGTACCCACATGGTGCTAACAACTGTACTGAACATCTGTTCCAGGAGTTCTCACTGTCTTCTGGCCTCCACAGACATTGCTGACATGGCTGTGTCGAACGCCCCCCAAGCCCACCAGGCTTGGGTCTTCAACAAGAAGGACACTCAGGACAAAGTCTGAAGTTATGTGAGGAATTTATTGAAAGGAAGGCAGGTGCAGGTTGAAGAGAGATCTCCAGAAGGAACTGAACTGTGGGGTCCCCCAGGTACTTTTTGTCTGACTTGGAGTTGTGGTTACCTAGGTGAGTTTTACTAACTGTCCCCGACCGCTTTCCGTCTCGCCGGCAAGAACGACGCGGGAGGACAAGTCAGGATCCTTCTGCAGCAGTTTATTTCATAAGCCTCTTACATAGCATACTAAGGATGAAGACCGAAGACGCCGAGAAGTGGGAGAGCTGTTGCTTATATATGCCCTAAAGGTCCCATTTATGACGTATAAGAAGCGGATTGGTTGCTGGAGATCACGCCACGGGAGGAGGCGAGGGAGAGCAGGCTCTTGTGCACGCCCCTTATGGGTGCAGCAGGATGTTTACTTTTAAGAAGGTCCGGATACCGGCGCCATCTTGTAATGGCGGCGGAGGCTGTGGCTCTCCACATGTAAGGTGAAAAGAGGTGTAGTGGATGTCTTCAGAAAAGTATTTGCTGGCCATGACAGGGTTGCTGCACACATGAATGCACAGTGGCTGGGATGGTACCAAGACCTGCAAAGACCAAGGCAGTTAAAACATCAGCATGGATGGGGTAGGGGCTCATGAAGTCCCACCCCAAACTGAGGAGCTATTGGCAATTGATGGATGCTGGGGAAGGTGAGTCAGTTTTCTTCAAGGATGTGGTCCCTGAGAGGCTCCCCATGCCCCAGTGAATGGCCCTATGCTCATGCACATACAGGCTGTACTAAGTGGACTCTATCTATGGGTTTAAAAAAAAACACATGAAGTTGGAAGGGAAAAGAGGGGGTGGATAGGGAGGAATTGAAGGGAAGGGAGTAGGGACAGATTTGATCAAAACACATTATGCGCATGTCTAAAATTCTCAAACTATAAAAGACTATCTGCATTAGACTGAAACTGATGTTTGGCACTTTTGGCATAGAAAAAGGCAATTTTTTACACTGAAATTAATAACTTATCATTTTTCTCTTTTAAGCTGACTTAACAGATTTGGTTTTGAAACTAAATATGAGTTTACTGTATATTCTAACTTCTACTGATCCCACCCTGCAGGGATTTCTGGTGGTGGGGTCATGAAGTCATGGGGCCAGTTGGGAGCCTAGGCTTTAGCATCAGAGGCCTGAGCTCAAGTCTTAATTCTCAGGGCTGATGAGATGGCTTGTTGGCTAAGAGCACAGTCTGAGAAAGCATGAGGATCTGAGTTCAGATCCGGGCACCCACATAAAAAGCTGGGAATGGCCACACACTTGGTTGGTTGGTTGGTTGGTTTGTGTAGCAAGGAAACTTTTTTCAATAGCAAAGTGATAGTACAGATCAGACTATGCTATCAATAGTGACCAATGGCCACACACTTGTAACCCCCAGCACTATGGGAGACAGAGACAGAAGGATTGCTGGGGGCTTGCTGGCTACCAGCCTCGATCCATCTTCAGTGAGAGACCCTGGCTCAAAGAAATAAGACAGAGAGTGACAGAGCAGAATACACAACATCCTCCTCTGGCTTCCAGATGCGCACACCCATAGGTACACACACACCACACACATACACCACACTCTCTCGCACACACACAAATTCATATGCACAGACATATAAATATATATATATATACACACACACATATATGTGTACATGTATGTAAATAAACACACAAAAATAAAAATGTTACATCTTACGCTGGGTGTGATGGTGCACACCTTTAATCCCAGTACTCGGGAGGCAGAGGCAGGCAGATCTCTGT